TTTTTTTTGCGGTTTAAGAAACCTTTATTGATTTTTTTAGGCGATCATTTTACGTATTCCTCCTCCTAGCGACGACATCTGCTCTAAATAAATTTCTTGTTGTCTAGAAAGTAGCACTTAATCATAATGCTTTTAGATCGGCTGATTCTGTTTTTAAGCAGTTTATATCTTTTGCGTCTCGATCAAAATTATGATTGTTGTGCATTTTTTAATTACAGAAAATAAGGCTACATGTGAATGGGAGGCCACGGGTTCGCTATCCACTACAGTCTCTTTTTGCTAGTAGTGTTTTCAATTTGCACTCTATATTAGGTTAAAAATCAGCGTGTTGTAAGAAATTATAATTTTATTACAATTACAGAGTTTACGTGTCTTCAGTACACCCCGACCTGTCCGAAAGCGACCTGAAGAGTGTGTTCGAAGCTTTTGGGGAAGTAGTGAAGTGTCAGCTAGCACGCCAGAGTGCGACAGGCAAAGGAAGTCATCGGTACGTGCATTAACAAGGAATTTTCCTCAGTACTCCCAAATGTATGATTTTAGTGGCTTTGGATACATTGAATTCAATAATGCAGCAGCAATGAATGAAGCTATAGCGGGAATGAATATGTTCGATCTCGGAGGACAGTTCTTAAGAGTAAGTTGCCATGTTTTCTTTTTCTTTCTATATACATCTTTAAAATACTGAAATTAGTGCAGTAGTTGAAGTTTATTGTAAAAAAAATTAGTCACTGCTTAACATTTTTTTTCATGTGGGACGGTGCATAACACCTCCAGAAGCGCTGACATATTTATCCCCTCAAACTCAAGGAGCGCTACCGACTGCAGCTGCTCAAGCTGCTGCAGCAGTTACAGCAAAAGTGATGGCCGCTGAGGCATCTGGAGTAAGTTTTAGTTTGGGAATAAAAGGCTAGTATACGTAGTTCATTGTTTCTTGCAAGGTTTTTCGTATGCAGTAGTTTTTGGTGAAACTACCATTTTCAGGCTGTTAAACATCAGGGATCAGGCTCAAATTCACCTCGAGCAATGAGTCCTGCACCAGCTACACCTCCGCTGCTACCTCCACCTGGTATTGCGTGTCCATCTCCGCCAACAATTACTGTTCCAACTCTGTCACAACCGAAGCTCACTGTGCCACCACCACCTGTCGCTGTAGCTACACCGCACCTCTACAATGTGCGTTGTGACCTTTCAAATATTTTTTTTTGATTTTTTGGTATTTTCCATATTTAGCCTCCACCCATAGCCCAGGTCCCACCAGTCTCTTACCCTCCGGTAGACTACGGCGTCCCACCGCCTCCGCTAAACGGATATCCATCTATAGCACCTCCTATCAGTGTTGTAAGTTTTTGACTTATCACATTCATATTGTTATATTTGCAATGATTACATTTGTAGCCTCCGGTACCTCCACCACCTGCTACTCAACGGGGCTTTGGAGGCTTTGCTGCGCCGGTGGCTCCTCCGCCAGTTGCTCCTCCATCAGCTCAGTATGCGAGTATGCCCCCTCCACCTCCACCTGCTGCTCGCCCACAACCAACAGCACCTAAAGGAGAAAGATCTTTCGAAGAGAAGGTTAGCAATTTTGTTATTTCTTTTTATAATCCGTCAAAAGGTGGTATTCTTTCTTTAGCTGAGTGAACTTTTTCCAGATGGAGCGAATTTTGGAAAGGACGAAAGCAAAACAAGAAGCTAAATTGGCGATGCCGGTAACGTTTGGTGCAATAGATCCATTGTTTGCACCTAAAGATCCTCTAGCAAATGCGGATGAGCA